TTCTAGGTCATCTGCTTGGCTTCTTGACAAGGTACTGCTGTAATGGCAATATAAAGATAAGCCAGTATCATTTAAGTATATTTTTAGTATATTGTATTTTTAGTATATTGATAGGAAATCACAGTTACTTAGTCATGTAGAGATTTTCTGAGCAAACCTGGTCTAAACATTATAACTTTTCTGATGTAAATGTTTATATTTTGACCTATAAAATCAAATTCTCCACTTAGGTACTTTGGTTCAAGTTATTAAAATTGTTAAGTATTTTGTTTTCTGTTTGTCTTATGCCCTCTCTGTGGTTAATATAGGGTTCATTTTCTTTCAAAATAATTTGTAAATGAGCAAAATATCATCTCTGCAGTTCTTCCATTTGAAAATCAAATACATATTCTTTATGGGACTTGCTTATATCCTAGGCATTTTGGAATGCTTTTCACACATATTAATAAAATTTTTGGGTTTTGCTGGGATTTGATATTATAAAATGTTGTTTTTGATACCCAAATATGAATATTGTGCATGCATACATATATATAATAACACATATTCTACAATTTTGTGCAGGTACGAATTTATGCATTATTTTCTGTGTTTCAACCCTATTAAGAAGTTTAGATAATGATTTAAAATAATTCTTAGTACCTTTTTTCTTTTTTCTGCTTCTAGAAAATTTAACTTGTTAAATCATTTCTATTAGTATTTCTATGAAACACGAATTATAAGATTTACCAAAAAAAAAAATAGTTGTTCCTAATTCTTCTTTCTCCTTAATGTTCACTGGAAAGTACTGATATTGTAGTCTTCTTTATATGTGGATTATAAAACTGAATGATTTTCCACATGTCATTAAGTTTAGGTTCCTCTCTTGGTAGCATAAAGAAATACATTTGTGACCTTTTATCTTATTGTCACAGTCATATGTGCTTACTTGTGCTGCATTAAAAATTACATCTCACTCAACTGTTCGCTTGTATGGAAGTAAAGCTATGAGTCACATCAATGCCTATGAATGTTAGTTATGTATTCCTTGTTACATTGCCCTATAAAACACAGTTATTGACTAGCTTGTACATCAGAATTTGGGGATAATTTTGTCTACATGCGTGAAGCGTACACTTGAGGTAAATTGACTTCCTATATGTGGAAGTTAGTGTTTACTGGAATTTAGATTCACATTTGCAGTCCTATTGGCTTTTGTTTTAAAAATCTACCATCAAGGCTGGTGTTTGCAGCAGCTAGATGTCGCTCGGGACAGTAGCATCCCGTCATGGAATGCCCGGGTTCAAGTTCCAACTCTGCTTGCTTCTGATTCCAACTTCCTCCTAATGTGCGCCCCAGGAGGCAGCAGTTGAGTTCCTGCCACCCATGTAGGAGACTGAAACTGAAATCCTGTTCTTCCACAGTTTGAAGTACACTTCTATTTTCAGGAAAGCATGGCCATGTGTGACCTCATATGCCTTTAAAGCTATTGAGGAAGTTTTTTCTGTGAAGAACTATACTCACAGGATGCAAAGAGGCATTTAACAAAAATTGTTAATTCTGAGAACAAACATGACAGAATGTCAGGTTGATTTTGAATTTGCCATATAGCCAACCTAAGGTTTCAAGCATTATGTTCAAGTACTCTTTGAACATTTGCAAGTTGAGATACATAATTTTTCTCTCTCTTTTTTTATTTTTTGTTGATTACGTTGCATTATATGACACTGTCTCATAGGCTCTGGGATTCCCCCAACCCCTCCCCATGGTAGATTCCTCCACCTTGTTGCAATATTACAGTTCAAGTTCAATTAAGATTCTTTCATTGCAATCATAGATTCCAGCATCTGATTGTCCAGATAAATTTAACAGTTTCTTAGGGAGACCATCTCTGGTCTGAAAGCAGAGCTGGCAGAATATCATCCTGATCAATTAAAAGACACAATATAACATCAACATCAATTTGCAACATTATGAAATTAATTGACATGGTATTGAGTAACAAATATGTTTAAAGATGCAAGTTCTTAACCACATCCTCTGACTACTTCATTAACATTTCAATTTTGGTTTATACACAGAACCAGTTTCTATACACCTTAAAATGGCTATAGATTACTATTCAGCTGTCTCATGACTATTTTCATTTTAGCGTTCAGCAGTTTGTAGTGTTGAAGCTTAATTTTACTGAACTTGGCAGATTTCTGGATAGTCTAAACTGGCTTATAACTCTAACAAGGCATATGTCAACAGTTGAAGTGCAGAACAGTGTTAGGAGGGGTGTGCAGAGAAATCTTCAATACCTTAGTGAGCAGTAACTAATCTTTGTGTCCTGCCTAGTAAGGGATATGTGAGTCCATGCTGACCGTTTCCTGTCTGGTTCCAAGCTTTCCTTGTTGTTCTCTACCTGTTCCAATTTGCGTGTGTGTGTGTTTTGGGGTAGGGGGCTTCGGAGCCACCCTGATGGTCATTGTAAGAGAGGGTGGGGATCCAAAGTTGGAACTATGTGAGGACCAGAGAAAGCTCTCTCCCTATTCCTGAAGGAAGCTTACTGTTCCAATGACCTTGGATGCTGTAAGGAAGGGTTTGGACTTCTTCCATCCCGTGTGGTAGATCCAAACGGGGGTGGATGACCTCAGAGTTCTTGGCCTCCGAAGGCATTCTAGTTCCCCATGGTCTGCTTGGCAGTTGGGATGTAGTCCTTGGTGCCCATACTGATAGTCCTTGGTGAGGACCCGGGAGTCCCCAGGGTTGGGATAAAAGCCTTCTCCTGTCCACCTGCTCCATCCTGGGATCCCTCCCTGCTGTGTGCATGTGACCTCCTGTTAAAAGGTTGTCAGGATCGCTCTTGATTCCACCTGTATATCTTTCTAGTTTTACTGTTGTCTAATGCTGATTCGAGTCTGTTGTCCATAAGTTACCTGTTGTGTTCCTGACAGGTTATACTTCATGTCTTCCTCTCACATAATTTTTCATCAGAAAGTTCAAATAATTTCAAAGAATATGTTTTCTAACATTAATGCTGATTTATAGCAGAAAAATAACTTAATTAAATTTGAACTTCCTGGGGTGTAAGTGTATCAAAATTCTCTTAATTTATAGTGATCTAAAGTTAATTCTACATTATAAATATTTTAAGTAATAAACATTGAAAGGAAAATTATCGAAACTCCTCTCTTAATGAAGTGAAGGAAAGGGGAGTGACTATATGGATGATTACCTTGTAGTTCCTTTCAAAGAGTCCCCATCTATCTTGTGCAGACCTCTGAGTTAGTGTCTTGCTGCAAGGAGATTATTGCAGTCACACAAGGCAGGTGACTGAGGGCGTGCACTCTGTAGGTAGGCAACCTGGGTTTGACCTCCAATTCTGTGTCTAGCTCTTTCTTAATTGCACAGAAGATCTGTGTTAACCTTGTTGGCCCTCTGTTTTTGCATCTGTAAAATGAAGGTAAAAATCGTCTGTCACTCGGGTATAGTGGAGTAATGTAGTTTAAGTCGCTGACACACGTGTGTAACTATACAATAGTATCAATTCTATATTTTCTTTTAAGTTCCTTTGAGAACTTAATATAGATGCCTCAATGGTCTGTGAGCATTTATAGAAGGGGGAGGAATTTCTCAGTTTTTACTGTCATTTTATATATATATTAATTTGATTCCAGTATGCTTTGTGCCATGATTTTATCTCACTCCAAAAACATTTCTTTCCATAGGATTGTGAAAGTTTCTGCCATTTACAGGTTCTCTGAGTACTTCCAGCACATAGAACTCCTTTGTCTCTCCTTTACTTTGTGCAGCCCTATTTAAGGGTTCTAACAGCCTACAGTATTCTGTTTCTGTGAAGGATCTTTTTTCTAGATGACATTCCCTAAGCTAAACATTCTCCAAGATCCAGGACCCAATGAATTTGTAGATGGAAAAAAAAAAGGAATCCCTAAAAATATTATGTAGACTGTTTTGATTTGTGCCGTTTTATGGACTTATAAGTATATGTATGATTCAAATCAAGGCAGCAGTGCTATCCCAAAAGGTTTTGAGAGAAGCTTATAATGAACAGATGATTTGTTGTTTACTTATCAGCAAAGTATGTATAAGTGGTTTGTTCTGAGGATATAAACTGTGTTCCCTTAGGCAAATAAATAGCCCACTTCCAGTCTTTTTTACACAACTATTTCATCAATCTTTATTCACTGTCTTTAGGAATGTCATAAGAACAACCTAAGCTCTTTTCTGTGAATAAATAGTTTCCTGCTAACCTTTCCCACTCCATTCAAAAAGTCAACTTCTTTTATTTTGGGTCTTAGTGTGATTCCGAAGTTAACCTTTTAGCACATATTTTCCTTCTTTTTAAATAATTAATTGCTTTATGATGTATTTCCTATAGCCTCTGGGATTTCCCCGTACCCTCTTCCTAAATCTACCCCCCAACCGATTTCCCCTATATTATTACAATAGTATAGTACTTCAAAAGAAATCATATTGAAGTTCTGTCATTAACACATAAGGGTGTTTCAAAAGGATTTTGGAAATAAATGGAATTAAATAGAAAAGTTTATTGAAGAGCAGGCATTTGACTCTGATCAGGGTGCCCATGCCTACTATAGCGCCTGATTTCCGCTTCCTGATAATACAGACCCTTGGCAACTCTGAGGCCCACACCCCCACTCCCATCCCAGCCATTGTGGGCATCTGGAGAATGAACTAACTGCCAGATGGGTGTGTAATATTTCCCACTCCTTCTTTGTGCCTCTCAAATGAAAAGAAGAAAAAAAGTTTAAAGTACATAATTGCATGGAATATTTAAGCTTATACCTAGTTTCTTCAGATAGTACACATTCTCTCTGAACTTTCTGAAGAACCTTGGGACATTAACATAAATGCCTCCTACCACTGGATCATAAACTCCTTGAAGGCAGAAGCCTAGTTCTTCAACTCTGTATCACTCCTGATACCTACCTTAAGTATGAATGAAATGATTTTTTTTTTATGAATAAGAACTCAAAATGCTATTTCTTTTACAGATTTGGTTCATTTGACTTGCACATCTTCTAAAACAGCAAGAGATGATTTAGAACCAGTTGTGCAGAAATTGTTTACTCCGTATTCTGAAATGGAAATAGGTAAGAAAACAAGGGGTAATCACTCTAAGGAAGTTGACTCTTTTAGAAATCCCATGAAAGTTTTTGCAACCTAAACTAAATGTTATGTGTTCAACTATCTCATATTTAGTAAGATGTTTAGTAAGATGAGTGCAGGGTCTCCTTAAACTTGAGGTGAAATATCTATTTGTATTAAAGGGAAAAACAAATCAAACACATGTATAATTAAGTGAAAAAATATTTATTTTTATGCATACATTTTAATATGCACTTAAAAGACTTTTAAAGAATATTTCAACTGATTTTAGGGTAAATTACAGGTAATTTTATCTTCATAACTTTGTAAGTGGTGTACAACATGCATATGCAAGTATTTCTTTATTAGAAAAAGATATCTTCCTTGAGAAAGATAGTTGATAACACCAGGAATGCTTCCTGATAATTTAACCTTCTAAGCATGACAAAGTAGTCACATGATAAATGGGGACTTTCAAAAGATATTTATTAATGGTGAAAATGCTGTTCAGCCATGAAGTTTCAAACTTTTCTCCCCCATCTTAATAGGGTATCTCTTATAGATGTGAATGGAGCTTTTGTGGCGTGCTTTGTGTGCGAGTGATAAAAACTAGCCCGACTTCATTTATGTAAAGTCAAGGTGACTTTCATTATAGGATTTTGATGTGTGTTTGAATCTTGGTTACCTTATTCCACTGATTCATGTTTTATAATTTTCTTTGAATGTCATGTTTATTCAGACAGTTGTGCATTTCCTCCTGAGTTTTCAGTTTCTTTTTCATACACCTGTTACAGATTGTGTTTTCCTATTACAGAGACAGATTGTTTATATTTGGAATGTTTGTGTAAGATGACAGATTGTTCCATTTATAAGTGACTAATATCAATAAGATTTTTGTGAGCTGCCGTATTAGAGTTCTCTAGTCTGAAAACTTCACTCTGAGACTTAATTTGGTGCATATTCATATTTTCTTCCTTGAAAATCTCATGTAAATGTTTGGGTTGCTGTTAAAAAAAATTTAAGTCAAAAGTATTTGAGAGATTCCTATACCTAATATGAAGTTATAGTTTTATTCTTTGGCTTACATCACATCTAATCCTTGCTTATATTTAATACAGGGAATTTCTTTGTCACTTGTAAAATGCTTCCTAATTTTTCTGTTGGAATTCCATTCTGATGCTTCCAAATAGTAAAACTAACTTTGAATCTTCTATGATTAGTCTTCTCATATGCATTTAATTTTCTTTCATAAAAAATACTTTACAGAAATTACATGTTCATTACTTAGTATTCTATAGGCATTTTATCTTTTTTAACATTAATCTTAATGGTTAAAGTGATCCCATTTTGAAATGATGTATTGCTTAGAACCTGAGTGAAATTCTTTAGTAAGAACTATGTGTTCAGAGGGTTCCTCAGGTGCACTGAGGCACTGAAAAGCTAGTTTTCACTGACACATAGGCCTTTTTATCATCAGGATGAGGTACTGGTCATATTTTAATTAAAATGTCAGAACAAATACTGTTGGAGTTATTGAAAATGAATCACCAGATAAAGTGAGCACTGGGCCATGGCAGGTCAAAGAGGCAAAGTCACCTGGAGAAGAGAACTCAATTCATTTTCCTGCCTAAATGAGGAAGAAGGAACTTTACGAGCAATATGAACTTTTAATACATTAAAGCACATTGTTCTCTGTAGCAAAAGCCCATATTTTCACAGATTGATGGCTTTTATTGTTACGTGTTCATTATTTGACAATCATATGAGATGCCATGCTTTAGAACATTGTAAATATTTTATGTTAAAACATGTTACAAAGGACTAACATTATTCAGGTTTATTTTCTTTTCGTTTGAGTTCTTCATTTTGTATTTTGTGATGCTTCCTAAGTCATGTGAACATCAGCTGAGTCACCTTGCAAGAAAGTTCACTTCTAAGAAAAGATATTTTCATTTCTACTGTAATACTTCTTTGATACTATGTGATAAATTCAAGTAGATCCTGAAGGCATTTCCTCTCTTTTTCACTTTTAATATATCAGCCAGAGTTAGTGAGATATGTTAGGAAGCAGTAGCACTGATATTTCAGTGAGCTTTACCTGTTGGGCTTCTTTTAAGAACAGGAAAGCTCTCTAAGCCTTCCCTGCTTTCACAGTCAAAGACATTATCGGTTGCTTTATGCTTGAGGACTCTAATTCTTCAGGTGCGAAAAAGAGATGATGCTCACCATTTCTGTATGCACTAATTCTTCTACTTCAGGATATCTTTCAAAGCACTGAGAGAAACTTAGTTCAAGTCTGAATGGCAATAAGTACCCTAGGTAATTTATTATTACACACACACACATATGTAATTGAGGCTTTCAATTGGAATTGAAGGAAAAATGTCAGTATATTTTGAAATGTCTTAAAAGTGTCACAACTACACATTTTCCCCATCATTGTACATGATATGTGGAGTTATTCTATCTCATTCTTTTATTTTTTTTCTAGATATACTACTTAAAAGCAGAAATTCCCTTTATACATATAGTTTTTATTTAGTGGCTACTAATCCCATTAAGAACTTGCTTTACATCAAAAGCAAATAATTGTGCATTGTAGCCAAATTTAGTTAGGATTCTGACAGTCTCCACTATGGTTAATATTAACAAAATAGTTTACTCTTTCCCTAAATATGGCTTGCAGCTGTCGACCACTTCTGACTTTTATTTGGTGTGTCATAATTGCTTTGTTTCTACCTTCCTGGCTCTGTACTTACTTCAGCTTAATTTTCCCAAGATCTTACTCAAAATCACCTATTACTTTAGTCCTTCACACTAATTGAATGAAATGAGCTATTTCAGAAAACTAATTCTACTGCTGGCAACGTGTTATGAACTCCAAGCCAAAACTCGGCACCTTTAAATTTTTTTTTTAAACTGTGTACTTCACAGCTATGTGGTATTTTTAAGCCATTTGTCTTCCAGCTGACCTCAAAGAATGATAAAGCAATTAAATGCCTCTTTGAAGGATTTTAGATGAAAACCTGATAACTCGCTTGTATCCACAACATCTGTTTTCAGCCTCTGTCAGTTTATCACCTTCCTCTTGTTTCTTTTCAAAGTCTCAGTGATGAAATTTCTTCCCTCTAGTCAGTTGGACATTCATTTCTTCAACTTGTATTGAGTCAAAGCCCTTCTCTAGCTGGGGCTTCCATGAATTTGGCTTAGAAATGGGGTAGACAGTGATAAAGGCCTTGCAGATTTCTGCTCCTCACATTTCATGACACAAATCATTGGTTGCTTTGCTTGAGGATCTTCTATGATAACTAGTCAATTCTCCAAGAACCAATATGGTTTTAGCTGTGAAATATGAACTTGAACTGTGGTTATGCACCATGGGGGGAGGGTTGTGGGAGGAGCGGGGGAAATCCAAGCACTTATAAAACTGTATCACATAATACAATGTTATTAACAATAAAAAATATATATTTAAATTAAATTTAAAAATTTAGAAAAAAAAGAAATATAAACTTCTCATATTCTTTTGTTAATAGATTTTGCCTTCTACATGAAGATAGTGATATACTGGGTTTGTAGATTTTTAACATTAAAAAGCTATACCTTGAGAAATTACTTCTACATAGTTTCTTAATCCTTTTACACTGATAATTACGAACTATTTAGGATGAACTAGAAAAAAATTTAGTTGGGAGTATTTTATTTGAAATAAAACTATTGTGGATTGGGAAATAGAACGTTTTTCTTAGTTGAATATTGCAGTCAGCTGAAAATTTCTCCACATATACAAATACAAATAGCAGTAATTAACCAAATAATATATACCTTTAGAATTTACACTTTTTACATTTTCTTTTCTTTATTTATCTTGAAATTCAGAGTTACAGAGAGAGTCCTTCCATCCTCTGGCTAATTTCTCAGATGGCCACAAAGGCCAGGACAGGACCAAGTTTAAGCTGGAAGCTTCATGCAAGTTCCCCTTTGCCAGGCTGTTAGCTAGATTGGAAGTACAGCATCCAGGACTTGAACTGGCACTCTATGGGATACTCGCATCAAAGACAATGGCTTTGTGAATTGCAAAGTACCTCGTAGTCTTCTGAAACTTTACATCAGTTGGAATTTCAGGTTCAAATTCAGGCTAAACTAAACTTTAGGGTTAGAAAACAGCAATACTTTCTGTCTCCAATCAAAGAAATTGCAACATTTCTGCAAAAAGAAATGATGATCGGGATAGCAAGAAATAGATTGTAGGCATTTAGATTGGACCTGTTTGTAAGCATATATTACTAATATCAATTCAAATTATGTTTGGGACATCTGTTTCATGCTAGGCCCTCTGAGAGGGAACAAAAAAAGGGAAGGACGGGCCCGGCGCGGTGGCGCAAGTGGTTAAAGGTCCTCGCCTTGCACGCCCGGGATCCCATATGGGCGCCGGTTCTAATCCCGGCAGCCCTGCTTCCCTTCCAGCTCCCTGCCTGTGGCCTGGGAAAGCAGTCGAGGATGGCCCAAAGCGTTGGGAACCTGCACCCATGTGGGAGACCCGGAAGAGGCTCCTGGCTTTGGATCGGCATAGTATCGGCCCGTTGCGCTCACTTGGGGAGTGAATCATCGGACGGAAGATCTTCCTCTCTGTCTCTCCTCTCTGTATATCCGCCTTTCCAATGAAAAAATAATAAAAATAAATCTTTAAAAAAAAAAAAAAAGGGAAGGAGAGAGGTAGAATAAGGACTAACTCTACCTCGTGTGCTCCCGGCACAGTGCATGGAACAGATGCTTGTCATTCAGTGAAAGAATCTGTACTCAAAAGTCATGGTCTTATGATTTCATTTTTGTTATTTGTTGGTTGCCATTAACTTCATAATCCAGTGAGGCAAAGTCATAAAATTGAATTAGGATATCAGAATATTAGTGTTGTATATACCATTTACTAATAGTTCTATTAATATATCATGCTCAAACCATGTGATTTACCACTATTCTTTTTAAGGCATCGTTTTTATTTGAAAGGCAGATTTACAATGAGTAGGAGAGACAGAGGGAGAGATTTTCTATCCACTGGTTCACTTCCCTTTGTCTACAAGGGACAGAGCTGAGCCAATCTGAAGTCAGGCACGGGGCTTCTGGGCCTCTCACATGTGTGCAGGGTCCTAAAGACTTAAACCATCCACCGTTCTTTTCCCGGGCCATGACCAAGTAGCTGGGTGGGAAGTGAAGCAGCCAGGACATGAAGAGGCACCCATATAAGAAACTGGCATTTAGGCAGAGGATTAGTCAATTGAGCCATCTGGCCTTGTGATTCACCAATTTAAAGTATAAAATTCAGTGGGTTTTAATATATTCATCAAATTTGGCAAATATCACAGTGAATTTTACAACATTTCCATTACCCCCAGAAAAAGCTCATAGCCAGGATTACCCCCAAATCTCCCTAGCCCTAGGTGACTACTTACTGAATTCTTGTCTCTATAGATTTTTGTTGTTCCATGCTGCTGACTTTAAAACTTAACAAATTCATTTATCCATTAAATCCATAAATTTAGCTTATTGTCTCACTTGAAATCATATAATTTGCACCTTGATGCTAGTGAAGAGAAAGCAATCCAAGAGAACATGATTGGAATTAACCTGAGAAGTGAAAATATATTTTTTAAGTCTTGTTTTTAGTTAAGAAGGAATCATTGGGGGGCTTGGCGCAGTGGCCAGCGGCTAAAGTCCTTACCTGGAAAGCACCAGGATCCCATAGGGATGCCGGTTCTAATCCCAGCAGCCCCGCTTCCCTTCCTGCTCCTTGCTTGTGGCCTGGGAAAGCAGTTGAGGACGGCCCAAAGCCTTGGGACCCTGCACCCACATGGGAGACCTGGAAGAAGCTCCTGGCTTTGGATCTGCGCACCTCTGGCTGTTGCAGCTGCTTAAGGAGTGAATCAACGCACGGAAGATCTTCTGTCTTTCCTCCTCTATTTTTATCTGACTTTTTAGTAGAAATAAATATTTTTTTTTAAAAGTAATTGTTGATTGCATGGAATATTTTACACAGTTATTGGAATATGTGGATGCAAATTTACTGATTACTTACAAAGATCTGATTTATTGTTACTGTGTTTTCATGCCTTAATTGATTAAATTGACAAGTCTATTGTATTTTACAATGCAAGTCAAATTTATTTCTATGTTCAGAAAAGGAAGAAGTTGAAAAGCCGAGAATTTTATGGGCTCTGTACTTCAACATGAGAGATTCTTCAGACATCAACAGGAACTGTTACAATGATTTGCCACCCAATGTTTATGTGTGCTCTGGCCCAGATGCTGCTTTAGGAAATGACAATGCAGTCAAACAGGTATGTCTGTTGTTGTGTTTCATTTTGCAACACAAAATTTGTATGGTCGGGAAAGTGAGTTCCTTTTCCCTCTGGAATGTGGAACTAGAGACTGGAAACTCTTAGCTAATATCCCTAGAAACTTCAAGTCTCCATTATATACTATCGCATGTTTGCACTGAATATAATGATGTGTAGATTATGGATGGCTTTCATTGCAGAAATAGAGATGGAAGATGTAATCATAGAAATGAACTTACAATTCCAGTATTCTGAGGAAGCATTGCTTCTCATTTAAACAGTTGGTCTCTTATTGTGTAGTTTTGAAGTACAGGAACTTTTCTCCCTAATACCTTGAGTCATTTCAAGAAGGATATAATTAGTAAGTTATACAAAATGAATTTTTTTAGTGGTCTTCACTTTTCTTAGTCAAAAGACTGAGAAGCAATCAGTCTTAATGATTTTGTTTTGTCTTGGAAAATATATAACTGTTTTTCACAAATTGATGCTAGTAATGTTTTGACAGAGCCAGTCTCACAAGAGCTGCTCTTGTAACCACTGAACAAATACAGGAGTTCAGGTGCACGTGTTGACATGTTGTTGGGCATGAGTATGAGGAGGTATAGACTAATATCAGCTGCCAAAAGTCAGCTATGATGACATTAGGCTGAAAATGTGTATGTCTATATGAAGTTCTTCATAAAATTCATGGGACATAGAATTAAAAGATACAAGTTTATTTTAGTGTTGTTTTAAGATCCATAGTTTTTTTTTAATATGGACTTTTCTCATCTGCATAAATTTCAGAAACTTCAAGATCAAAATAAGCTCATGTTTTAGTTCTATTTCCCATGAACTTTCAAGTACTCCCAAACACTTCTCTGCCCTTGTCAAGGAAAATAGAAAATCTTTTTGAGCTAGTCATGTGTGTCTATTGGATAAATAAATGGATAACTTAGCGCTTCACCACAAGTAGAACTTTCATTGCCATTATTGTTGGAGATTTTGTAGAAATGGCCTTCTTGAGCTTCTGATTTGTAATCATAGAAGCAAGGCTTTGAGCCATGACCGTGATGCAGATTTTCTGCATAATTTTGCCAAAAATATGTCTCCTCTTCAGTCTGATGGTGATCTTAGCACCACTGAGAAACAAAGGTAGGAAGTTACATTTTGAAACATTTTTCATTCTATAAACTCAATGGGAACTGAGGGATAGTTTGTAATTTCATTTGTGATTTAAAATGAGCAAATCACTTTTACTTTGATATTCTCAACTCCACAAACAGAAATTCCCAACAAAATTTTAGCCAGGTAACTTCCGTTATTTTTATCCCTTTATATTTTTTAATTTTTTAAACTGAAATGGGAAACTTCTTCAATAAGAGCTTATAATACAACTGGTGATCTCTATCTGTTAAAAAGTTGTAATTATGGGGTAATTTTATCATGAGGCAATTTGCTTCCTAACAAGATAACCTTCATGTATAAATTGTTATTATAGCAGAAAACAGTATTAGCTAGTTTGGGCATTAATTATTATGTACTATTAAATGTAAGTAGTTATAAATTTGTTAAATAGCTTTTAAAATGTCAGTTTTGGGAGGAATATATATTTTAAGCACTTTGGTAATTGTATTAAATAGACAATTTAATCAGATAACCTGGATCCTGGTTCTAGTATATCATCCTAACATTATCCCAGACACTAATTAGTGGTTTTCATTTTATAAGTGAATAATGTCATCTATGAAAGCTCTCCAAACAGCCTACAGGCAGTGCCTTTATAGAAAACACAGGCCCCTTCAGGTTTCTTTTTTTTAACAGGTAAAATGTATTGTTCACCACTTGGAAAACTGTATCATTTCTTTTTGTGATTGTGTGGAGGTTAAATAATGTAAACCTGACTTTCTGTGTTCTTATGCAACATTTTTGAAGACACTCAAAGTATAAAGCTCACAAGGTAAAATTGCATGCAGAAACACACAAACATATTTTTTAAGGCTTATATTTCAGTTTTCACCTATGCACCTGGCATATAATACCTATTTACTTGATATAGCACCGTCCTGTTTATGCACGCATAGTTCTGAGCAGATTGGTACATGGTCCCCACTTCCAAAGCACTAATAACTCATGCTTCATACAAGAGTGCCTCCTGCCAGCCCTGAGAAGCTGTCACTGCCGTAAGAATAAGAGTACTTAAATTGGTTCATGTTAGACTGGGCTGGCAATGTACAATGTAGAATATTACTTTATAGACATATTAGACCACATATTGGTTTTGGTACACTCTTGTTTCTAAGGATTTATTTGAAAGTTACACATAAATCTCTTCCATGCACTAAATCACTCCCGAGATAACTTCAATGTCCAGGGCTAGGCAGGACTAAGCCAGGGAGCCAGGGGGACTCCAAAAACAAGAAACTCCACCCTCCACCATGTGTGTGTGGGAGGGACCGAAACACCTGGGCCATCTGCCACTGCTTTTCCCAGACTGTTAACAAGAAGTAGAGCAGTTAGGAATCAAACTGACACCCATATGGGGCAGCAGCTTTACCTGCCGTACCACAATATTAACCCTTGCGCTCTAATCAAGTTGCTCATAGATTGTGTTGCCATTCACTTTCTGATGCAATTGAGAGAGAGGGAAGTTTGCATTTGAGCCTTTTCTGTTTGTCAGACACTTAACCCCTCATGTTGTTTTTGAGGACAAAATAAAGGCAATAGGTGCTAGGGTTAAGTAATGTGGAAAACTTATTTTGCAGATCAGGAACCTGAGGCTCAAAGGGGTAGAGTGACACAGACTACTAAGTTTTTTTTTTTAGAGATCTATTTTTATTTTTATTGGAAAGGTGGATATACAGAGAGGAGAGACAGAGGAAGATCTTCTGTCCGATGATTTACTCCCCAAGTGAGCACAACAGCCGATGCTATGCCGATCCAAAGCCAGGATCCAGGAACTTCTTCCGTGTCTCCCACATGGGTGCAGCATCCCAAAGCTTTGGGCCGTCCTCGACTGCTTTCCCAGGCCACAGGCAGGGAGCTGGATGGGAAGCGGAGCTGCCGGGATTAGAACCAGCGCCCATATGGGATCCTGGGCGTGCAAGGCGAGGACCTTAACCACTGCGCCACCGCACCGGGCCCTAGCCAAGCTTTAGACATCAAGTATATTGGATTCAGTTTTTCTAAATTCTTCAAGTGTGCTATGCTACTTTCAGTCTGAATAAGGATACATCCTAAATACATTAAAGTACTAGACTGACAAAATATTTATTTTTGCTTTGGGTAGGTTGATATTAAATAAGCAAATGTTTTAATAACTTGCCATGAACCACAATATAATTAGCCTCTTTCCAGTTATTTTTCAACACATTAAACCAATCACCCTCTAACTTCTGGCTTTAAAAGGGTGAGGGAGGAGGAAGATTTTGTTATTAGAAATGGGTATAGTTTGCAAACAAAATACAACAGACTGTGACTGGTGCTGTAGTATAGTAAGCTAACCCTCTTCCTGTAGTTCCTGCATCCCAAATGGGTGTCAGTTCCAGACGCAGCTGCTCCACTTCCAGTCCACCTCCCTGCTAATGTGCCTGGGAAAGCAGCAAAATATAGTCTTAACTCCTTGGGCTCCTACACCCATGTGGGAGACCTGGAAGAAATTTCTGACATCATACTGGCTCTGTTGCAGCTGTTACAGCTCTTTGGGGAGTGAACCAGACCAGTAGATGGAGGATCTTTCTGTAAATCTGCCTATCATGTAAAAATAAATAATCTTAAAAAGAAAAAATACAGACTGAGAAGCAGTATATGAACCTTCCAGAGAAAAGGAAAAGGCCAAAGTCTGGCTTAGCTGCAGTTGTCTTCAGCAAGGAGCAGTGGCACATGGATTGAAGACAGGACTCGCATAAGCTGACAGAACACAAGGTGAAGCAAGTTGTACATGATGGGAAAATATGGAAAAAGAGAGGGAGTGAGCCTCAAGGAATAGGGCTTTAAGGAACAAAAATTGTTATGGGATGGGTGAAAAGGAAAAAGCTGATAAGATAATAAACAGGGGGAACTGGCATGGAAACAAAGGTGATGTTAATAACTGTATATCTGCTCAGCATTTGATAGTAGATAGTCTTTAAGAGTTCTTATAACCATCAATAAAAAAATTACATTCTGTTTATGTCAGGGACTAATAATTGAGAGTTGACTGAAAAATCTTGTCTTCTTAGATGAATTGCTGTATAGCAGGGTATGTAGACAAATGACGGTGGAGCGTAACATACAGGTAGTTCAAGAAGACCCAAAGTCTAGAAGTAACTCAGATAAATAAATGAGCTTTGTCTATAAGTCAGACACAGGGTACTATATAAGAGTTGAGTAGTTACTCTGGATTCAAATTAAAGACCGTAGATTCGGAAACACTTGGGTATAACATGCACCAGCTCAAAATACAAACATCAAGCTGTGATTAAGAAGCAGGCATTAGGGGCCCGGGTCCGGCGCGGTGGTGCAGTGGTTAAGGTCCTCGCCTTGCACGCCCGGGATCCCATATGGGCACCGGTTCTATCCCAGCAGCCCCGCTTCCCTTCCAGCTCCCTGCCTGTGGCCCAGGAAAGCAGTCGAGGACAGCCCAAAGCCTTGGGACCCTGCACCCGCGTGGGAGACCGAAAAGAAGCTCCTGGCTTCAGATCCGCATAGCATCAGCCATTGCAGTCACTTGAGGAGTGAATCATCGGACGGAAGATCTTCCTGTCTGTCTCTCCTCTCTGTATATCTGCCTTTCCAATAAAAAAAATAATAATAAAAATAAAATCTTAAAAAAAAAAAAAGAAGCAGGCATTAGGGGCACACATTATGACACAGCAGTTTAAAACATTACCTGGGATGCCTTATGGGTGCTGGTCCATGTGTAAGCCCCTGCCCCACTTGGAGTCTGACTCCCTGCTAAAGGACCTGGGAAAGCGTCGGAAGTGCTCTGACTCTGCACACCCTGTGGGAGATCCAGATGATGCTCCTGGCTCTGGCCTAGTCCAGCCCTAGCCGTTATGGGCACCTAGGGAGCGAACTGTAAATGGAAGCCTTCTCTCTCTGACTTTGAAATAAATAAAATGTGTTATTTAAAAAAATGCGTTAATGAAGCAGAAAGTCATAGGTAGTGATTGGACAAGAGGATAAGATGAGAGGAAGCAAGCCTAAGGGCATTGTGTGCCATAGTAAAGCTCTTGGGTTTTACTGTTGGTAACAGGATGTCATTGAAGAATGTAGAGAATTTCATTTTTCATAGATTCCTCTCAGGGTGACGTGGAGATGGATTACAGGGAGAAAATATAGAGACAAGAAAATTCAGTCCAGTTCTGGATCCCTTGGCAGTTATTTGTGTAAAAGATGACATCCATTCAGTTATGTCAAGGAGGAAGGATCAGATAAAATGAATAGGAGATAACATTGAGAGGATTTTGTGAGTAGTTTTGCCTGCAGAGAATAAAGGAAAGGTGAAAATGCAGAGAGACTAGATAGAAATAGAAGATTAGAAGATCATGAGGGAGAACTGAAAGTTGAGATTTTGCTGTAGTCCCCATACTTCTACAGTAGGTAGTATTTTCCCACAAGTGAAAAGCGAAGCATGAATCTCTTTAATCTCAAAACATCCCAAGTAAGCAATGCAGTATTGTGAATTATAATCATTGTACTGTACATTAGGTGCATCAGAACTTAGTTGTCTTCAATTTTGTACTCTTTGACAAACAACCTTCCCCACCACCCCCCTAAGCCCTTGCAGTCACTCTTACTCCCTGCACACATAAGGCATAAATGAAATAATTTGGTGTTTTGTCTTGCTGTGCCTGGCTTATTTCACTTACCGTAATGGCCTCCTGGGTTATCTATATTATTATAAATGACACGATTGTTTACTTGAAATTAAATAAGGGAACACATTTTCTGATAGCAGAGATGTGTGGCAGAAGCATGCTGATAACAGAAATTTACGTGTCCCTACTTCTAGACACATAGGCAACCATGAGTGGTTAAAAATGTATTACCTTGTAGGGGTCTTCAAAAAGTCATGGAAAATGCATGATAATCCTTGAAACCTTCTAACACCAAGATAAGATTTTCTTTTAGCTCTGTTTTGCAATATGCAAAACATGCACTGAACACATTTTAGCAAAGCATTCTACAATTTGTTAAAAAAAATAAATATATATCCATAGTAAATGACATATCCAAATATATACCCTTGAAGGATATCCATAAGGGAAAGAAATTATTGTCCTGTCGCTTTCTCAAAGCCACATCAAAAGTCAGGACATTTACTTGGTGGTTAAACCACCTATTAAGATGCTCCACCAATTAAGATCTCCCACATGGAATGCTTGGGATTCAATGTCTAGTGTTGCTCCTACCTCCAGCTTCCTGCTAATGCAGTCACTCGGAGACGGCAGTGATGGCTCAAATAGCTGTGTCCCCACCATCCATCCACATGGGACACTGGTTTGAGTTCCTTGATTCCTTTTTGTTTCCAGCCCAGATCGAAACATGAGTTTTTAGGGAGTAGATCACCCGATATTACTCCCATAACCATTACCCCAAAGCATCCATTTACGCAGTTGTGGATAACCAGGTGGGAAGCATATTTTAGGTTTTTCAGCTTACATGGTTTATATCACAGGTACTCAAGTCTACAGGTAATAGGTAAATAAGTGAATATGACTATGTTTGAATCAAATCCTACATATGGAAAACAGCAGTCTAGATTTGGCCTATGGATCATAGTTTGGTTTGATGAATGTCCTTTTGTGTATATCTGGAAGGAAGAAAGGTGGTAATGTATCGTCAAACAGTAAATGTATCTTCGGAGCCTTTAGTAATTCCCTTTTACAAATGGGCTAAAACGATCTTTAGCATGCAGGTGTCTATATTTGATAGATATTTCATACAGATAAAAATGGGGATGTGTTTTGGAGTAGAATATAGTGCTATCTGCCTCAAGGACTGTTCTCCCTCTGTGTGTGTGTGTGTGTGTCTGTGTGTAGTTGAGAGCACTTTTTTTTGTTTGTTTTCTTACCTGCCGTACCAAGATCAACTTAAATCTCAATATTTTTACTTTTAATTGTAATAATAATAGAATCCATTTTATAGGAGCTTACTTTGATGCCATTTTATAGGTGATAAATCAAGGCTTTGAATAAACATTTCCTAAATCACATAGCTTCTAAGTGATCCAGCTAGCATTTGCACTTGAGGTATCTATATATTCAGAATTCATGAGCTTAAACATTGTGCTGCATTCCATAAAGCCCAGGGCAGAGGGAAATTTATCAGAAAGCAGCTTGTTGAGTGAAAAATGAAGACTTTTTCTTGAGTTGTCCAATGACTTTAAGTTAATGTTATTATGGGCTAAGTTAGATTGTGTATGGGTGTTACAGATAAGCTGTATAGGAAATTATATAAAGAATATTAACGCATATTGTATTTTTCTTGATAAACAGAATAAGTATGCTTAAATTCTCAATAGCCATCCTTATTAAAGAGTGGGCCTGAATGCACATACTGTTTAGAAGGAGAAATGTCCTAGAATTCTGAACCAATAATGTATATTGTTGAAGTGCTGTCATCGGGTTAAAGACATGTTCAAGGGTACTGCTAATTTTGTCTAGATAGCTCCAGAATTGCACATAATAGTTTAAGGTCAATGTTACAAAAACTGTTTTGTCTATCTTATCCTGGCCAGGCTCAAACCATTTTTCAGCAAATCTACCCAAACGAAGACTTCTGTCCACCCCCACCAAATCCGGAAGACATTGTGCTTGAAGGAGAGACTTCACAGCCAGAGACTTCAGAATCCATTCCCAAATCAGAGGGCAACTCAGAGACTCCTGAGGAAAGTGTGAACCCGGAAGACCCACCGGCAGCCTCTGAATAATGCCTAATCACCAAAGTAAAGACCTCACTTTTGAAATCTGCCTGGTCTCAGTTTTCTTGATGGAGCAACTGTTTGAGCAGTGTTAGAAAGCAGCAGCCAATTGACACATAGAACTATAAGGAGAAACAGGTCATGGAAATCCTAAAGGGGATTTTTTTTTTTTCTTGAAGAGGACATTCCAACAACACAGACTACTTCTAAAGCACAGCGACTTGCCTATTTTAAATCTGTGAGATTAACAGATGAAATTATGGATGAATTGACTCCCAGGAATCGTTAAGGATATGAAAACGGTCCTATGCATTGTCAGTAATTCTGTGCTATTAGCACAACTTTTAAGCCACAGCTTCAGAATAAGCTCACGTTTCCTTTGATTATTTGAAGTATAACTTCTCTACTGATATGAACATGATGACATACACTATAAAAGCATACATCTAAATTGAGATAAAGTATCATGATCCAGGCATCAGCCTATCCTGTGTTTGCAAAATATTTGTTTTGTCTTTTGAGAAGTATTGAAATTTTAAGATGCTTAAGTATTTTTATAAACAAATCACAAATCCACTATCCATCAGTATTTGTAATATTAATAGTGATATTTACATGACTCATCCACATACCGGGTAAGCTCAGTAACGAAGAGGTGAAAGAATGAAATGAAAGGTTAAGATAGGCTCATTGGTATTTGGAGTTTCTGTCCAGACAACTACCTGGAATATTAGCCTAATTGTCTTGAGATCTAAATTAGTTTGGCTATGCTGCTTATGATGTTAAGAAAGTTTGGGGCTCCAATTTCTCCACGTGTTAAATAGAAATAGCAATACCCCCCTGTCTACTCTATGAAAATGATAAGTATAGTGCCGCCCATAGGATGGTTTTTTTCTTAAAGAAAAGTTGCTTCAGAATTTTCTCATTGGGTTGAGTATGAATGTCAGAAATCTCATGTAGTAAAGCATTGCTGTCCCCAAGAAAATGAGCAGTGTGTTTGCTACACTGAATTTTTTTCAAAATGAAAGCCTTTTTCATGAAATATTATTTTTAAAGTTTTATAGGCTAGTATACATGATGATGCATAGAATCATAGTTTTGAAGTTCTGTAGGGAAAACTTCATATTCCTTTCTGAGAGGTCAACTTTAAACAACCAAGGACTGAATTGAGTAGGGCAGTTCATAAACCCTATTCTACTTCCCACATAAAAATGTTGGAGCTGTACATAGGCAGGAAATGTACTTACAGTGACAGTGCCTATATTTAAATTTTCCCAAATGCCAAGCCCTGATGGCCTACTTTTTCCAAGCAATAGTTCGGATTTGCAGCTGCCTCATAAAGAGACAAAAGTTCTTGTTGCATGCCCTTACCTGTATCACCTGTCAGGGGGCCATGACTCCAGTGGAAAGCACACAGTTTGTACACCTCAGCTCAGTGGCTCCCTGACTTCAACAGGTTATGCAGGCAGACTTTTGTAGAAATGAAAGAACCAAGGAATGTGTCTCCTGCCTCATCTTCCTCTACCCCTGCAGATATTGTTGAATCTACAAGGAAAAAATTCCTAGCCTCTCAGGCTGCTCCTAAGCTCACCTCCAACTGTACAGCCCCTTCCCTGTCTCTGTAGCCTCCTCTTCCTCTCTCTTCCTCTTTTGTAACGTCACATAAATCAGGGACAATAGAATCACATTATAACCTACTTTGCTATAGGGATTTCAGATCATAAGGCAAATCATGTTTCCTGAAACCCACTAAGGCTTGCACCAACTGCCTTGTACTTTCCTTTAGTAAACTAGGCATTGGTCCTGCCCCTCAATACCAGCAATATAAAAGGTTTCACTAACAGAGACTTGAATCAGAATGCAATTGCAGTAAGTGGCACCTACAAAGATAACCTTTGTTAGAGTTTAGGGCTCCTGAATACATCATAGCATTTTATGCAAACAATCAGGGTAGGCCTAGAATAGCTAGACAAATTCTGATAGCCTTACTGCAGCTGTCTATGTAGAACAATGATGGAGATGCTTTATGATTTCATTGGCCAGCCCACATTGTATCTATCTCATCCATCAGCCAGCATTGGAATCTCTTCTAGATCATTAATTACATACTGTTGAAATGTTTCAAAGCTCCTGACTTTGATGTTTAAATTATTTGTGAGTTAATGGTTGAGATATACTGATGCTAAATACCATGATAGAGAACTTTAAATATTAACTGTTGCCTCAGAATGTAATAGAAATTATTGTAAGAACTTTCTTAAGTCCGAAATCATATGAATGAAAATCTTGTACATAATGCAAACTTTTCTGTAGCAGCGTAAGTTTTAAAATTGTTAAAACATTTTGATGTGTGTGTTGAAAATATTTAGTTATGCATGCTTATTTATCAAAATGTTATTAACTATTCAGTTTAGCAACTGATAACACACCCAGTAATTAATCCTATATTGCTACTGTATTTTTTCTAGTTGATGTGCCTGCCTAGAAAAACATAATATATAATAAAGTTCAATTTGTATATTTTTCTATAGGAAAATTAGTTAAGTTTTCCTCATCTCCTATGATATTTAGCTATCCATAGTATGACAGATCTGTTAATGAGTGGCTTCTAGAATGGTGGCAAATTCTGAAATTGTCAACCTTTGATAATGGTCATGCTAAGGTTTAACTTCTGTCACTCCTCTAGATACATGAATTTTGCAATTTGATCGCTAAATAGTAGTGATCCTTTTAAGCAGGAATTATAGCAATTTTCTTGCAAATCAATTATTTATGTCTACTTGTTTGGAATAATGTCTTATTCTGAATTCTCTTAAGCATTTCTAAAAGCATGAAATACAAGTTCATAATTTGCACAGTATAAATGGTAAGTTTTCAGAGGAAATAAAGACTGTTTTCAATGCCTTTGAGGTGTGGCATGCAATTTTTTTCATGTTAGAATTTGGTATACATGCCAATAACTTAAAGATTATCTTGGACCTGATATTTTTAGTTTTACCATTATTTAAATAATTAATCATTGAACTGTATACTTGATTTTCTTTTTAAGCATCTGCCAATGAGTTTAGTTGTTTGCTTGTAGGAAACCATTCCAGATGCCAGCATTGATGTCAATATCAAATAAAGGTGGATTGGACCCTGTTCTCTTTGGAATCAGTGCTGTGATGGCTATGAGGCATGGGCTATGATTTGTGTGCATTGGTTGCCTATGAAATTTGACTTCTCATATGGAAAGTAAGAATCTGAAATGTTGTTCCAATTTATTTGGTGAATGAGAACTGAAGTGTGTTCTGAGGTATTTTGAGTCTGCTGCAGCTTCCTTATGACAGAGAACAGGCAATTAAAGCAAACATTTTCTGTCAATTCCAAGTAGTTCCTAAAGCTCTTCAGACATGATGCATTCAGAAGACAATAGGATTTTTTGTTTTTTCAAAACTGGGCAGCCTGTCTATGAGATTATTAATAAATCAAGTTTAAGAAAGATAAGGTTAATTGAATTTTTAAAACAAGTAGCTGTATTATCCTTCAAGTACCTTGGAGCTATAATCACATTTTTTTTTAAAACAAGTGCTTTGATATGTTTGACTTCTTTAATGATGGCTTTTTAAAAATAGCAATTAACACTTAGCAAACCAAGTCACATTTTGAAGGCCACTTTTCTTTCCATTGATGTACAATTTAGCTGGGGGGCTGCAATGAGATGCCCTTGCTGTACAAGTTGCCACGTCTGCTCTTTTTGGCAATGATGACTCTTAGGACCATTTGACAGGTAATCATTAGAACTTGGGTCCTAGTACACTGTGGGGTCTTTTTGCCTATCACTGCCTGGGGATTTATGCTGGTGACTCCTATTAATCTTAATAGGATTTGCATGTGTAAATTCTCCTATCAAGGAGGCAGTTGACCCCTAAAAGATATATTCATTAGAGCTGGACACTGTTTCTGATCAAGAAGCATCAGTGAATGGTTCTTTTTGGAATTTTCATTTGTGGAAAATCAGGAGTGCCAATTCAGTGGAGGGTGTTTTTGTAGAGCTTGAAAAGATAAAATCCTAGGTCTTTAATCTTTATATTTCTATTATATGTTACTAACTATTACTCTTTTTTTAAAGAATCGTTTTATTGCAAAGTCAGATATATATACAGAGAGGAGGAGAGACAGAGAGAAACATCCTCCCGATGATTGACTACCCAAGTGACCACATCGGCCGGTGCTGTGCCGATCTGAAGCCAGCAGCCTCCCTGACGTGTACAGGGTCCCAAGGCCCTGGGCCATCTCCGACTGCCTTCCCAGGCCATAAGCAGGGAGCTGGGTGGGAAGCGGGGCCCATATGGGATCCTGGCGCTTTCAAGGCGAGGACTTTAGCCACTAGGCCACAGCACCAGGACCACAAGCTATTACTCTTTTCCGTTATTAGCAACATCGTAGTTTTTCTCTTTGTAAGTATATTTCTTGGGTTCTCATTGACATTGCAATTTAAAATGCCAGTGTTATCATGAAAGTTGTGGAAATATGGAATATTTTAAAGGTATGTAATAGTGCCCTGTCTCATAACAATCAATTGCCAACCCACCTAGCAAATGCGGTTTGCTTACATTAGCAGAATCTAATAGCTAGATGAGAGTAATTGTGAAAAAGCCCTTTGTGGGTAAGAGTTTATGAATTGCTTGTAATCTTGGTGATTAATTTGGAAGCACCTTCCAAAACTTTAAGTGCTGATAGATTTTGACTAAGCTTTCCACTTCTGAAATTAGCTTATGGAAATTCCTGACCCAAAATATAAGATTTCACGCTAGTTTTTATCTTTGGTTCAGAAATAAGCCAAGTGTTCATTAAAAGCAGATTGCTTTAAAATTATTTATGAATGCATCCAATAGTGTAGAGCACTGAGCAGTTGCTACAAATTGAGGTATGCCTATATGTAATACATTTTCAACATATTTTAAATGTTAGTCATAGTATTAAAATATAGCACTATATTCTATAAAGGTATACACTAAATGCTAATTTTAAAATGTTTAAATAAAATGAAGGTAATGGCAGTATATGTGTATGTAAAAGTCAAATCCAATGTGAACACTTGTTCATAAACTTACCTCCCAGTAAATGTTTGAGAAGTATACAAACAAAACTGGTAATGGCAGTTATACCAGAAAAGATTAAAAATCGGGGGAGGGGGTGGAATAAAAGGGCTCATTAACTTCAAAATCTATGTAGTTTCTTTAGTTTTAGATTTTTTTTTTTTTAGAATAACTATGTATCATGTTACAGGATAGAGAAGAGAAAAACATTTTAACTTTGTAGCCAGCCTTGTAGCACAGAACATTAAGCTACTGTATGGATCCCTGGAATCCCATGTTGAAGTGCTGGTTTGAGTCCTGACTGCTCTGCTTCTGATCCAGCTTCCTACTACCCTACCGAGGAAGGTGGCAGATGATGACCCAAGTATTGGAGCCCCGCCACTCACATGCAAGACCCCATTATAGATCCTGCCTCTTGGCTGCAGCCATTTGGGAAGTAAGCCAGCAGATGGAAGACCTCTGGTTCTCATTCTGTCTCTTTGTCTTTCACTCTGTTTTCCAAATATAATTATCATTTTAAAAAATTGTTATTTGAAACAAAGTTATAGAGAGGAGAGAGAAAGCCCCTCCATCCATGGGTTCATACCCTCACATGACCGACCACAACAACCAAGATTTGACCAGACTGAATCCAGGAGCCTGGAGCCTCTTGTGTGTCTACCATGTGCATACAGGGGCCCAAGCACTTGACCCATCCTCGACTGGTTTCCCAGGCTTTGCAGATGGCAGCAAAACTTGCTATACCACAGTTCCCACGTCCTAAAATGAATCTTTAAAAATGCAGGCAGGAAGAAGGGTAGAGTGGAAAGCTACACTATTTATGCTCCTAAATCTCTATTGTGAAATACATAAAATTTATTCAGCTTACATAACTAATATTAAAAAGAAAGAGATCTTAAAGTATTTATTGGGTTAGTGGTAATATGTTGTAATACTTCAAATAATAACTGTGCTGATGTAATCATTAACCGGTGTCTAAACAAGAAAAAGCTAATACAAAACAAAATTTTTATGATGTATAATTTGAATTGGCAATAATGTATGAAGATATCTGAGCTCATGACGCACACAAAATGTCTGTATTTTGGAGATGGACATGTGGCACAGTGGATTAAGTCACTGCTTATGCTGTCCGCATCTCCTATCAGACTGCTGGCTCAAGTCCCAGCTACATTATTTCTGATTCAGCCCCTTGCTAATGTGCCAGAAAAGCAGCCGATGATGGCCCAAGCAGTTGAGTTACTGCCGCATGTGCACAAGAGTCAGATGGAGCTAAAGGCACCTGCCTTCAGCCTGGCCCAGCTATTTGGGGATGAGCCAACTGATACACACAATTTAGGGGCACAATCCTCCTTCACCCCAGCAGTTGGTGTAAATTGTGTTTTCTAGCTATGCTGAGAAAAAAAAAAAAAAGGAGGGAGGAACCTACCTGAAACAACACTTATTGATCAGAGATAAGATCATTTGAACATCAGAATTTTTCATACTACTTCAAACTAGTAAATGAATATAGAGCAACTGTTGAGTTTTCTAAGTCACCAATCTTTTATTCTAGAAATTAGTAAAGAGAAGAAATCAGTCAGCCTGACTTTGCTAATTATGTTTCAGGGCATCCAAACAGTCACTTGAGGAGAGTTCATATTTAATTAATGAATGAGAAAAAAAATGCCATTTTCTAAGCCCAGTAGCAGTGTAATAACGGAACTAAGCAGTGGTTTTCATTTGCTATTAAATTCAGATATCATGTAAACTTACCAATCACTACAACCAAAAATGAGATTACAGGCCTCATGGTGTGTTGAAACAAGAAGTACACAACACCACATAGGAAATATAAAATATAAACTGAGCCCAAGTTGATTCAAGCATCTAGATTTAATGACCAGTTTATAGGCAAAAGAAGGGTAGGTGAACATATGTTGGGATGACTCGGTCAGTGCAGGTTGCACATTGGTGCATGGTACATGACATCGTACCCCAGAGGCCTGTGCCATTATTACATGTTCATCAATTTAAAAAGAATGTTTCAAGAAATGTGCTCCCATGTACTAAATGCTTAAGGAAATTAAAGCATTTTAGAAGCCAAAGCACTGAATTTTATCATTGAACTGGAACAAGAAAAAAACGGAAGTTTGCACTATTTACGGATTTAGGGAGACATCAGATGACTGCAACATGTTGAGCATGTTTAAGCAAATGGGATTTTTAAGATGTATTTATTTAAAGCAGAGTGTCATTTCCCAAATGACCATAACAGCCAGAGGCGGGAGGTCCCTCTAGCTCTACCATGTGGATGACAGGGACTCGGCTACATAAGATGCCAGTTGTTGCTTTCCAGACTTAGCAGAGAGCCAGACTAAAAGCAGAGGAGAGCCAGTATTTGAACTGACACTTTGATATGGGTTCAGAAAAATCCATTCCAAACTGCACCACATGTCAACCCCAATTATTTAAAAAGAAAAAAAAAATTGAGATACTCAGAGTTGAAGATTGCCTGGATGTGAGTTGATTTTAAATACTTTCAATGTTTAAAAGACATTGTTAAAGTTTTTTAAGAATAGATAAAATGTTACACTGGTTAAATCTAGGCTATGGTACATGGAGTTTATTTCTAGTTTGCATTTTTCTGTTTAAAATGTTTCACACTATGGGGCTGGCATTACGGCATAGCAGGCAAAGCCAGCACTATGTGGCACTGGGATCCAATTCATGTTCCAGCTTCTCCACTTCTTATCCATTTCCCTACCAGTTGCCTGAGAATAATAACAGGAGATGATGATGCAAGTGTTTGGGGTCCAGCACCCACTTCAAGGTAAATGAGGTTCTTGGTGTGGGCCCAGTGCCGGCTTTTGTGACCATCTGGATAGTGAATCAGTGGATGGACGATTGACCATTCTCCCTCCCTCTCTGATTTCCAAATAAATAAACCCCTAATTTTTTTTCCATTTTTATTATTATTTTTTAAATCAAGCTCTCTGTTAATGGCCTCAGCAGCAAAGAATGGCCCAATTGCTAGAGCCCCTGCACCCACATGGGAGACCCCAGAAGAAGCTCCTAGCT